GGGTTGGGGGGGATAGTGTACCCATCACTGTGGTAGAAGTAGAGGGTAGGAGAGAGAGGGATTATGATGTAGATGCAGACATAGTGGAGGAGGTGAAGCAGTATAAGTCTGAGCTCGGGACCAGGGATAGCCTGGGATATTTGGTGGAGAGTTATGAGATCTCCTCCCGAGTGTTAATTAGGTCAGCTGGGGTAGAGGAGAGGGCGTGTTCTGCTCCTCGGGATCATTGGATGCCCGTGTATGCCCACTATTTGGTAGCCGGGCTTAGGTTTCCAATTCCTAAGCTGTTAGTAGGTTTGTTGTTAGATTATAGTATAGGGTTGACACAGTTAGTCCCCAACGCTATGAGGGTAATAATAGGATTTTTAGTTTATTGCCGAGCTCAGGAGATTAATGTGCCAACTATTAATATGTTTAAATATTTTTTTTGTTTTAAAAGGGGGTAGTATGAAAGATAAGGGGTGGTATTATTTCACCCATAGGGTAGCAAATAGGGAGAGTAGAGCGTTATTTACTACCGGTCCTTCATCCATTAAAGGATGAAAGGAAAAATTCTTTTTTGTAGATGATACAGAGTGGGAGAGGGGGGATACCGAGGTGGAGGAGTTATCATCCTGGAAGGCTAAAAGAGCCAACCAGAATAAGTTTAGTTTAAATGAGGATGAGGAGGAAAAGGTGGGGAAGTTGGTGAGGAAAGGGGGAAATTTATTGAACATCATGGACCTCACTAGCGCAAAATGCATAGAAGCTGCTGAGCTCTATGGGCCAAGCGCTTTAAGTGAAGGTTTGTGTAGATTTACATTGTAATGTTTAATGTAGAGTATAGAGTTGTATGATTAATACTGTATTTTCTTGTTTTGTAGCTGAAATGGACAAATTTTTGAACACTGCTACAAGAGTGGCCATTCCCAAGAAGCCAAGGAAGAAGTCAAAGACTTCAACCAAACAAGTGGATGAGGGAGCAATTGGAAAAGAGGTAGTGCCCAACACTACAGCCGGAGTGGAGGAGGAGGAGCCAGAGCTGCAGTTGAAGAGAAAAAGTAGGGAAGAGAGAGGGGCACTACAGCAGTTTAATTCTTATTTTTACGTTTACCTCTGTAACTCATATTTAATATTTTTGTCCCCTCTCCTCTCTATTTATACATTACTCCCATTACCTCCAACAACATCATTCACAAGTGAATGACTTTGGGGGGGGGGGGAAATAGTGTAAGGATAAGTCCAAGATCCTTAACCTCGGACGTACTGTAACAATTCCTCGATAACCAAAGTGAAGTTAAGCCCAACATTTATGGTCAAACGGCTGAACGATAAATACAGTAGGCATACTCACACCTGATTTATTACATAACTCTCCGGTCCCGAATTTGTAGCCAGTCCCGAGTTTATCTCCTTAAGGGACACGTCACACTCCGATTATCTTGCTTGACATACCACATGGGTTCCTCACTAAAGCCTATAAATACCCCCCAGGGGCCACGTCAAAAAGATGATTGTAACCTTTCCAAAGCTTTTTTTTCATTAGTCCAGAGATAGACCCGATTATTGCTGACTTAAGCATCGAAGTATCTATCCAGGGAACCCACCTCGGGGCTTTGCAGGTTCATCTGAAGTGAAGACGCAGATTGAAGAAGGATCTTTGGTTTCGTGCAATTACACATTTTAAACTGCTGCAAATATGTTTTGCATAAAATGCAAGAATTTGAGTTCAAATTGTTTGC